AGCAACCTCACCATGTCAAAACTTCAAACTGTGTAAGGGAAAAGTAGTTGTTGGTATACCTGATCTTATTGTCGTAATGATATTTAGTTTCCACTAAATTTACAAACTGGTATATCATAAATGAACTGGGACCATACAATATTAACAAAGAAATATTAAATTACGCAATTAGATATTAAAGAAAAAAAATGCAATTATGCAGACTAAGGTGATTTCTTGACCCTGTTAATGGAAAAACTATCTGAAATTAATACAAAAATTTGCTCAATCATTAATAACTATAATGTATAAAGCTGAGACTCCCTATAGAAAACAGTATCAGCTTATACAGTAAAGAACACATCATAAAGCTTCAAGCATTTAAAAAGGGCTGGACACGTCGCTAACTACAATACCATACTTAAGGTTTATAAGCTGTACTTTAAAATGCTTTAAATGAATTTATATAAGAATTATCTACACATGTATAAACCGAAACAAATCCTGTTGCAGTCTTTTTAACATTGCTCAAGCGAGAAAGGACATCCATATACCTTTTAAGCCTTCATAAGACTGTATTTGCGGGGCAATTGATATTCAAAATAATATTGAATGCAATATGGTATATGCAAAGAGAATGCCATCTCCGTGAGACAATAAATGATTGTGTATGGTCATGTTCTATGTCAATTACTAATATAAGTTCAGAAATTCAAGCTGTATAAAAAGGTACACAAATTTTCAGGAAGAATATCATTTTGAAGTAAAGAAGAAACAAAAGAAATGTAAGATTTTCCTAAATCTAAAATTTTAATGGAGTTTAACAATTTTTCAAAAAGTTTACAATTATTGAGTAAGTTTCACTATTTTTTTAATTGAAGTTAAAACATTTTTAACTGAGCTTTACAATTAGATTAATTTAACAAACAATCACACAATCTAGATACCCCTGTTAACTTCATACTTTTGGAAGGAATAAAGAATAGAATCTCAAAACTGACAATACTTTATAATTTGCAGAACACAAGATTCTACAGGCAGGCATATTGACTGATATATCAGTACACCAATTAATCAATTAAGCAAGCAGACAGTTATATTGATAAAGTTTTATGAATTAAACCCTGAAGCATTAAACCAAAATCAGTAACATTAAGGAATTAAACACACACACGAAATTAACCTAACTAATAACATTTTTTGCAATTTAATTTTGGAAAGTTAATATTGTTGATACAGGTTTTTCCTTTTTGAATTCTGATCTCCTCTATAAAATTCCACTGCTGTTTTTTATATAAAAAGTTTGTGCCGTGAACCAAGCTGTAGCCATGGAGGCCGTGAAACAATTTCAGTCTGTACCTCTGATTGAGGGAATGCGTCCGGAGTGCGCTACCTACCAAGAAAGCTAGGAAACACATCCCTACAAACAACATCAAAGGCTGAGAGGAGATAGGTACATGTAACGTAGAAGTATGATCAATCTACAGGTTCACCTGGGCCTTGCTAGTCAAAGGCTGATAAGCTTGTGGGAGATGCTAAGGAAAAAGTTAGAAGAAAAATGATTTTTTGCTTATTTAATAAACACCATTGGTATTTTCATACTTTCTAGACTGAATCGAACAAATGTACAAATGTAGGTTTCGGCCAACAATCAATAATTTGGGAAGATATATTCTTGAAACATACTTTTGTCTGAGAAAATAAGAAAGCATGTGATACCACTAAACCCTGTGTTTCTTACTATGTACCTCTGTAGACTTTATAAACTCCTTAAAGCTTAGGGTACCAAGGTTCAAATTCCCTTTCTCCAACATGTTAAAGCAAATTCTGAAATTTCCCTTTGCGCTCCATTTGCAGAAAGAATCGGCCTCCTGCACTATTTAATCTCTCCTGTACGCCCCATTTCACAATTCTTGCACAACGACCATGAAGAAGAAAGCTATTAACCAGTCTATTTTCAGTAAATAAAACTAAATCTCTGTTTGAGATATACCTATAAGATGAGAGACATGGATCTGTCTTCAATCAAAAGTAATCGCAAAATAAATTGTTTGACTGTACTAGAAATATGAATTTTATTGAGATAAACACATATAAATGGTTCCATAACTCATTAAATTCACAATAATATTATTCCCCACGTCTCACAGCAAATAAAATAAATATCTTGAGTTATATCGTCAGGGAAATATCAACTACTTGCAGAAATTTAGTGGTTTTTGTACATGAACTTTACCTCAGTACAGAATCTAAAAGTACCTTGCAAAATCATAGAAATTAACATCTTTCACCCAAAACACTGCCTCATGACAATCAAAATATTTTCTATTTCATGAAACATGTGATATATTTATTAAACTATCATTTAGTAGCAAACTTTTTCAGCAGATTTGAGGATAAATTGAGAATTAATAAAACATTCTTTTCGAAGTATTTCTGAGTTCAATTGATAAGAAATCACAAACAGTATATATCATATGCCAACATCACCTGTGATGACTTTCAACCCTGGTAGTTATTTTGACTCTAACTATGAAAACAAGATTTTCTATATAAAACCAGTACCTAACATGAATTTCTACTACCATACCAATTTAATGTCTGGTTTCTGAATCTGGCAACTTGAATACAGGTTACTTTCCAAAACTTGACCTCTCCTTCTGTTTAAAATATATCACACTAACATCACGACCTTTGACTCCATTCTGATTCCAATTAACTTTGTTCATACTAACCCCTGTATATAGCTATCTTATAATGATGGACACAGACTAGACTTGTTGTAGGGAGTGATGAAGACAATTAAGGATGCTGCCCCTCCCTTACCTGTAATTAGTCTGACCTTGGCCACTATAGATCTGGCCCACATGTGTGCTGATCAATAAAGTAAAACCAGTAAGTAATAGCATCAGTGTATTACTGGAAGCTACTGTTTCATTTATCTCTAGGTTATACAGTTGACTTTATCTCTAGTTTTGACTGTTGACTTTATCTCTAGTTCTGCCTGTTTCCTTTATCTCTACTGTTTCCTTTATCTCTAGGTTATACAGTTTACTTTATCTCTAGTTTTGCCTGTTTCCTTTATCTCAACTGTTTCCTTTATCTCTAGGTTATACAGTTTACTTTATCTCTAGTTTTGACTGTTTCCATTACCTCTACTGTTTCCTTTATCTCTAGTTTATAACCTTTCCTTTATCTGTAGTATATACAGTTTACAATATATCATGCAAGATTTTCCTCAAATCATATTTCATTACTATTGATTTGTAAATGTTGTAAGTTTTATCATTTCACACCAATGAAAAGTTACTGTAAAGAGAAAATTTAAAAACACTTAATTGTAGACCGGTCTCAGAATATTAGACAGTTCTATATAAATCCAAAGTTATAAAGAAGATAATTCTAAATAACAAAAAGTATTAAAGATGAAGTCCTTCATAAAGTTAACATAGATGTCAGTCCTTAATCTAAAGTTTATATAGAAGAGTATCCTTAAGTTTATATTACATAAAAGACAGTCTTGCATTAAAATCTATTAAAAAGACAATCAGTCCTACATTAAAGTTCACTTCTGGTTTTTTCCCACACAATACAGTTCTAAGTAGAAGTTCATATAAAGAAAAAAATTATAAACAAGACAGTTAAAAAGATCAGTCTATAGGTTTATATTCAAGACAGCTTAACATTACAGTTTACATATAAAACAATTCTAAATTGGCACCAGGCACTGCACTAACATGACTTGAAAAACAAAATGAATAAAGCCCAAAATAAAAACATTAGTTATGGTTCTTTTTAATCCTAGCACTCTATGAACAATATCTTTGGGAGTTTTTTGTGATATGTCACTTTGCTTGTAATTTCGCAGGTTTTTTTTTGTTTGTTTTTCATCAGTTTGCAGGATTTAATTCTTAGCCAAATATTACCTTTCAGTTTTCAGGTCAAAACCGTCCAATATTATAATCACCAGTGGGTATTACTCTCCTGAGTAGGTCAGAACGACCACCAGAAACAAGAGTAAAGAGTCTATATGCAAATACTATGAACATTTCGTAAATCTAAATCCAGACTAACGAAAATAAAATCCAGAATTTATAGATCGGCTCGCATTGATCCCAGTGAATCTCTATCTATTTCAATAAACAGGAAGTATTCATGAGGTCAGATTGAACACCAATATCAACGTACAACAGTCGCCATTCATTACCACTACTCTGGATAATCTGTTTGCTCGGCATTTATTCGGTACTGCACATACAATAATATTCAAAACACCAGAAATTACCCTGACAGTACTAATTTGTATAGACATAGCAATGAAATGTTCGCTATTACAAACTTAGTTTTTGTCTTTAAATGTCCCACAGAAACTATTTATACGGTCTAGCCAGTCACTGTTACATCAAACAGAAGATTCACGGCAGAGCTGTTTCATCTCTCAAAAATATATACGACCGCATTTTCTCTGCCGAGCATGCAAAAAACTGGTCTATGTTTTGACGCAACCTACATCTGTATGGATCTTGTATTAGTGGAAATCAATGGTGAAAAGGCTGGTATATGTAGCTATTACATGAACATGTTACAATGTAAATGTCATGTACAAGTTCAGCCTGGTTGTACTTAGTGGTAGTGATGGAGGAAATGAGTGGGAGGGTGAAGAGATGTGGGAGGGTCGTTGTATAACAAGTCTCCTTATATATCACATTCTCCTCCTGTACCCTGAAAAACCCATCATCATCTACAATGACATAATTTTGACAGCATGCCGGTACATAAACGGTCATGCAAAAAATCACTTCACAATATACCACCATATCAGACACAACAGAAGAGGACAACTGAGTTTTTTTTCATTCCTGGTCAATAAAATTCAAATTCTCATGTACAGAAAACAGGCTTCAATAGCCAATACTTATGTCCGTGATGGAGAATGTGTCCAATATATAGCAGATATCTATAGCCATACACAAAACAAAAGTCGAGATTCTCATTCAACAATATGTAGCAAGACTGCTTACCTTTGATATCTTCGCTCATCTGCAAATCTACATAGTCGGCTCTAGGATCCGGAACTGGCGAAGGAAACAGAACAACATCTAAATTATTGTTCAAAACCTAAAATCTTATTTTGCATATGCATATCAAGACTGTCTATATAAAAAATAAAGATTAAGAGTTTCTGGTAATATTCTCGAAATCAGGTTGTATCTGAAAAATGATGGTCTAGATTTTAGACTTAAGTCTTAATCAAAAGAAAAATTATAAATGATATCATTTTAAAGTGGGACTGTTCCTATTGAGAATATGCATGTAAAATCACATTTAAATATGGAATTGAAATGTTAGACAATATATTGAAACTGGTTTCAAAAATGTCTTCTCACTCAATCAAAGATTCTGCAATGCAGCAACCAGAGTTTAAGACTAATTTGATTCTATTAACAGCCCAATTATAATAACACTTCACAAGACTTGTGTCTCAAGATATAAATACAGATAGAAAGGACAAATTTAATACACAACATCACTTATTGAGTAAACAGTATGGAACAACCTGAGGTCCCTACTTATTAAACAGATTCATGATCTGGTACCAGCTTTCAACTTAATTATTCCAACTTATGAATCCAAATACCAATAATTTCCTACATTCCAGGCAGAAAATATATTTACTAAGGACATGAACTGTGACTACCTAGTGTTATCCAGATCTGGTAAAATGAAATGACAATTTCCAGCTATCTTTCTACACCATTTATTAGAAATTAGTATTCCTTTCTATTCATATATAAATTCTTTTTGTCATGTTCAACACTTTTTTTAAAAACATATATATATTTTGCAGTGTTTCATCCAACATCTTTTTTATAAAGGTAACAAAATAAAGGTCATATCAGAATATCTATGCATGATTGCATGATGCATAATTGGCTGATTAGAAAAATACACAGCTTGTGTGGTAAACCCATAACCAGAAAATACATGTACTGTAGGCTAATACTAACTTCATCACATAGCAATACAAGATAACTACATCAAAGTAATAGCTTTGTATATAAAATATATAAAGATACCTCACGTCACAGAAAATACTTGTACTATTAATCAATGGCATTTGTAAATTAAGAATAAGACACAAAAAAACAAATAATAGATTAGATTAATTATCAAGAGACCTGGTAACAGAGGTCTTTGTTGGGTAAAATTAAGACAAATTTCCAACATTCACCAGACTCGTGAATAAACAGTGAAACTGGGTAAAGCTGATAGAAAACCATAGGATACAAACACAAACAACTGAAGACTACAGTCGAGAGAGTACTGCAGAATCGCAATAAACTACTTTATGTAATTTACATAGTTTTAGAAAGAAATATAGTTAATGAGAACCGCAATAGAATGAGAGAGAGATTGAATAAACTACATCCAGCAGAAGCTCAGCAACAAACCTAGTAAAGCATTGGAGGTGATTGTTCCTGATCTGGTACATGAAAACTGTTAGCAGGACTACACATATTAAGCATGGTAAACGCTCCAAGGTCGAAAGATCTACGCTTGCTTTCTAGATAACCATATCCAAATTTAAGTATTACCTGTAACAGGTTGCCTTTTACTGTGATCAGAATGTACTGAAGTAATGCCAAACGATAGATCACCACATTAAGTTGTCACACCTATGGATCTATAATGCCAAGCCCCTCTTGGGTTTAATGAATAAATTCATTTCATTTGTAAATCTGATATCAAAGTCCCACTTTTCTTTTGGATTTTATTCTAAAATTCATTGTTGAATGAACTGACAATCAACGAACAAAATCAATGAAATAAAAACAAGATAAACTCTGTATCATTCAACTTTCTTCATTCCCCCCAATGATACCTTCCCATGCTTTCACTGACCTTTGGTCATTTTGCATTAATGTACCTTTACCTTGTTCATAAATATTGGTAGGTACTGTTTCATCAGAAGCAGAGACCCGAGGTACAAAGGTAACTATCACTCACACCAAACTTAGCAAGTGGCTTGTCTGGTTATACATTGGAAGTTATGGTTTGTACAGATCAGGAAAACTACGGTACTAGAGAATCATGTGTGTGTGTATAATGAAAGTGACAACTTGCAGGACTATCGGTGTTTGTGAGTTATGGTACTGTTCTCAAGTACTGCGTGGTACAACTAAGGAGTACTGCAGTAACTCAAAATAAGTATTTACAGGGACTTAATGTATTCGTTCAGCCGAGAAGGTTCCATGACAACTATCCTGGTAACCTGTTGAAAGCAACCATGTTATTGTAACAAGAGGAATTTCAGGAAAGTGCCAGTAACCTTTTATTTATACATCACAATTTTACAAACCATGTGATATTGTTTCTTTCAAGAAAACAATTTTTTTTATTATATTGTTTCTGTATCCTCAAGTTTGCAGATGTCAAAGTGCCCTTCATTCTAGTTGTTATGAAAATATATGACCTGATCTATTGGCTATCATCACTATGACAATCTATAAATTGATATATCATTAGATAAATGTTTCTATGACAATATTGGTTGATAAATCAAACAGATATATTGGTAGATAAACTGTTTCTATGACAATATATGGATATATTGGTTGATAAATAATTTCTATGACAAAATTGATTGATAAATCAAAAATCATATACTGGTCAATAAATTGTTTCTATGACAATATATGAACTGATATATTGGTTGATATATGTTTTTGTGGACAGGCCTTTAATACAAAGGTTAGCAAATCTCATTTTCTAAAATGAAATTGATGCATATTCTTTAAATAGCAAGTGACGCAAGACTTTTCAAAACGAAAGATTTTTTTTGTTAATTGATAGCCATAATGTAAAAACCTGCTCTATTTCTACAAGCTACAGTTTTTGCAGGTCACAGAATGATATATTTTAAATCAAAATGATACAGCACAATTAATTTCTAATAAAAAAATTGCAGTATAGTAAACACCTATTTCAACATATCTTTAGCAGTACAAATATTTATTTAAAGAGATTCTATAATCTTTAAGCAAAGTACTACACTCAATCGTGACCCAAATATGATTACTTCTCAGATTAAATATTCCCAGAACTAAATTTACCTATTATAGATACATATATAGTATACAACTATGAATTGTGTATTGCTTCTACACAGAATAACTCATGATATTAGTCTAAATGTGTGAGGTGCAAAATGTGAACCATAAAAAGGAGTGTAGAGATTGCCCTTAAGTGTTTCTATTGAAAACAAGTACCTTGTAGTCATCAAAAAGTATTTCCTTAAGCTGTCCTTCCAAGTATTAAAATATTTAGTTGCATAATAAAGAGGTAAATGGACAAATTGCCAGTATGACTGACTACAGCAGGTAGGCAGTGAGATGATATTTCAGAAAACCAGGCAGAATTGGGGTCACAGAGTACAACACCTATTTAACAGCAGATAATCCAATATAACTGGCAATTGCGTATTTTTAGCCTGTGACCTTCTCTTCCACAACATAAACCTTACATTTTTAACCATCACCTGCTATTCCCCATAGTAAGCCATGTTAACATGGCACAACTATAGAAATGGACAGCTCTACACACCGAATGCAACATTAGGCATGTGCTACAGAAGGAAAATAAAACATCCAGCCAAGATTCAACCCCTTGACAATACACCTGTGTGCATGTGTATAATGTAAACAAACGGCCATTAAACCTGGGCTTTCATGCAAAGGCAGCCTTCTATTACACTATAATTACCAAACTATTACTCCATAATTACAATTTCATGCAGCCATTATTCCTGAAGCTATGCCTGTCTCCATGTACCAGGACTGTTAGATATATTAACACACAATCCTGCATAACAACGTACATGAGGACATGTCCTAATATTCAATACTTTTATTTAAGTAACCAGTCATAACAAGACTGGTTTCAATATCATATATACAAATGTATCTTCTTCTAACATTCCTACATATAACTCAGGCAGAAGATTCACAAAACACCTTCAACACATCTCACTGTACACAACAAACCTGACACACTTCTCACTTAACAAAATGACCTTTTACACATCTCACTATTCACATCACATCTCCTACATATCGCACCAGACACATCAAACCTCATAAACATCTCGTTACACACATCGAACCTCATACATATCTCACAACACACAACAAACTTACACACATCTCACTACACACATAAAACCTCATAAACATCTCACTACACACATCAAACCTCAAACATATCTCACAACACACAACAAACTTACACACATCTCACTACACACATAAAACCTCATAAACATCTCACTACACACATCAAACCTCAAACATATCTCACAACACACAACAAACTTACACACATCTCACTACACACATAAAACCTCATAAACATCTCACTACACACATCAAACCTCAAACATATCTCACAACACACAACAAACCTATCACACATCTCACTACACACAACAAACCTCAAACATATCTAACAACACACAACAAACCTCATACATATCTCACTACACACAACAAACCTACACACATCTCACAATACACAACAAACCTCAAACACGTCTCACTACACACAACAAACCTCAAACACATCTTTCTACATACAACAAACCTAACACACATCTCACTACACACATCAAATCTCATAAACATCTCACTACACACATCGAACCTCATACACATCTCACAACACAAAACAAACCTACACATCTCACAACACACAACATACTTCCCACACATACTACACACAACAAACCTCAAACACGTCTCACTACACACAACAAACCTCGTATACATCAAAAGCATCTCCTGTTTAGAGTTGCTGACATGTATCACTGTTATATGTTAACTGGATCCATTTGAAGGGTTTAACTTTGTCAGCCAGTTGATCTTGAAATCAACAATCACTGATGACGTAATAGTCTGGTTTTCAGTAAGATTCTATTATTTTCATCTTAGCTGTACATTAGCTGATCAACCCACACACTGTACTAATGGATAAGTACATAAATCCAGCACCTTACCCAAGTCTAGACCTACATGTAACACTTGAATCCATCATTTTCTAGTTAACTAATGACAATTCTGTAACCAAATTACAGCATTTAGCATCACAACTTAAACATTCTAGGAACTGATATCTCTTGTGAAAACATATGCCTGTTATATGGCTGTTTGTATAATTGCGTAATTGCAATGTATTTCACTAAAAACCATTTCGAATAACAACCAATACAGACTAATTTGATTCAAAAGGAAATATATCTCCTCTGCCATTAGATAAATGTTAATCCTCACGCAAAGAATGCTGCAGTAAAATACATATTAACTGAAAATGATTCCTGGTGTTAATCTGTCCTAATTTACAACCGAAATTTAAACAATACTAAAGTCATCCGAGAATAGAGGACAAAATTAAGGCATATTGGATTAAACACCATCAGACTCTGGCGCAAAGGACAAAGTTTGTTTGAGTGTAGAAAGCAAAAGACACTAGTTCTGTGAACATTGGTTATTTTCACAGTCACTTGTTTTGTATATAGTATATATCAGGTATTTTCAGGATCACAATTTATTTCTGGATGCTAAATCTTATGGATGCCAAATCGGATTTAACCTTTTATGTGTGTGTATACCAATGTGGTATTATTCTTTTTTCAAATAATAACCAATATGTATTATACTTACCATAGCTGTGAATGAAATTTGCCAAGTAGAGGTCTAACTCGCGCACAGATACACTTATATGATGTGGGTTAACACACAGTGTAGGGTTCATACAATCGGGTGACTTCTCAAGTCTTTCCCCATCAGTACTTTCCAGCGGTAACGCTTTAAACAATATAACCATCACTAGGTCAAGTCTCCAAACCTTGTCCGCTTGCCGTAGACAGTCGATTCGACGCATTTTCCCCTTCTGGTCCGGGTTGCTGCTCACACATACCGGGGGTCGTTTCCCTGTTATACTTAGCACAAAATCTTCTCGACATTCCTGAGTTATATCTTTCCGCAATTTTGCCAGAAGTCTTGAAGCCCATTTCTGTTTTATTTCTGGTTTTTCATTCTGAAAGAATCACAATAATTTTAGAAAACATGAATACAGGGCACACATTAATTAAAAAACATTTCTATTCTAAAACATTGGAATTTCTACCTCACTCGAAAAAAAATTTCATCTGTTTTTTGTTCTTTTTTGAACATCAACATCATGAATGGTTCATGGAAGGGCCTATATATGATGCTGCAACAAGGATGCCCCTGCCAATAGCCAATGCGAAGTAGATTGGTATGGCAGTGTTTGCTTTTGAAAGGGGTACTGATGATCCTCACTTTTTAGACTGTGTTCAGTACTGGTTGAATAACTAAATAAACCATTTAGTTCTTAAAATTTTCAAAATTCAACAGTTATAACTGAAATCAACTGATCGGAACCAAATATATATTTTATCAACATCTCCTAATTACAAAGCAACCTACCACATTTCACTTTAATATATCTATTTGTCAACAAGTATATGAATGGAATCTTAAGTGATGGAAAGAGGGAATGAAAGAATGATGGTCTTAGGGGCAACACTCTATGTCCTGGCTATTTATGATGCGTGATTGAATTGACACTGTATTATAATAAAAAGTTTTATTCCAAGTTAAGTACGAAAATGTCTGGAGTTGATCATACACTGTCTGTAGAGTGGATCCAACAAAATATAAGTGTAGAGTCAATTGTACTGTATCTGTGCTTGCAAAGCATTTTTCCACTCATATTGAAAAGGGCCTTTTGATATCATTAAGGGGAGACAATTCATCAAATGGGAAGGAAATTTTAAAAAGCAAATTGAATTTTTTGGGAATATGGCCATATCATGATATAAATGCAGTTGTGGAAGGAACCCTTTTTGGCCCTACAGAGCCCCAAGAAAGAGTTATCTATTGCTATATGTAAGTGAGCCTTTACCACATCAATAGTATTGTTTGTCCAACAACAAAACACAACATTTATATCTAAACAAACAGGAGAAATATTGGCAAAATCAGGAACTCCTCTATAATTCAAGATCTCAGATACATTAACAAGTAATGTCGCACTACTATCATTCTAATTTTTATGTCATGTTTTTGAGTCTGATGAAGAGGATCTTATAGCCTGTATCGGCTGATAAACTTAACTTATCTTATAATCTCCAACACGTATACAAGTATATAATTATAAATAGAACTCTATATAGCAGTTAAATCCTGGAAATGAGAGATTTACAAAATATATGTATTGGTTAAAGTCTTTAAACCAAACTTTTTGTTTTACAATAAAATGGTAATAGTACAAAATTGTGAAAACTTGGCTTAGAAAGTTATGATCATTCATCACTCAGCAGTTCTATTTTATTTCTTATCCTGTTTATTATCAAAATTGTTAAATTACATACAAACACCACTTATCAACTTAAGAGTTTTGAAAATAAATTCTCAGTTAAAACAATTCTACTCAAGCAGAATGTATTTAAATCTGCTACCATTATCAATATTAATTCCTGACGACCAATACAAAATTTTCTTATCCACATAATGTACACGTAGTTAATTAAAAAATGTATCATACATATGCGTGTTTAATAGAGAATATTACACTGCTACAGATGAGATGTGTATGTATACACACACACATACATAAAATAAGTGCATAGTTCAGGCATGTAGCTTATTTTGTAAAATCATATATATAGAAAAAGTTATACTTGACCTGCAATGAAACATGTTTCTATGTGTATTTTGACCTGTAATAACAGCTGCAAAATACTGTACAAGAAATTTATCTACCCATATATAATTTCATAAACCAGCAGTTTTGATAAAAATAAAAAAAACTTTCGTATCAGTACTATGGTAACGACTATTAATATCTACACAACGAATATTCACCTATCAAACTTGTATTTCATATGGAGGACGCACAAAAACTGCACAATAACATGGGTTTTTTTTTAATGTAATTAAAGTCAATATAATTGTAAGTGACCTTTTGGCAAATCCTCTGAAAACCTGATTTTCGTGGAAGATTTCACAGAAGGTAATCTGGCAATTACAATGCCTATATTACTCTAAAAATTACTTTTATTATTTATATTTTTATAACCAACAACATTTTAAGCATTCTAAATTTGGTTTTCATGAAGTCTAACCATTTCATTGACCGGGAGATATGTAGGTGTTGTAATTGGACAGTGGTGGGCAAATGAAAATATAAATGTATAAAAACTACATGGTCTGGCGATAAAAAGTAAGTGTCTGTACACGACACAGAAATACTACACGGTCCAGAGATGAACAGTAAGTGTTTGTACACGACACAGAAATACTACACGGTCCAGAGATGTACAGTAAGTGTTTGTACACGACACAGAAATACTACACGGTCCAGAGATGTACAGTAAGTGTTTGTACACGACACAGAAATACTACACGGTCCAGAGATGTACAGTAAGTGTTTGTACACGACACAGAAATACTACACGGTCCAGAGATGTACAGTAAGTGTTTGTACACGACACAGAAATACTACACGGTCCAGAGATGTACAGTAAGTGTTTGTACATGACACAGAAATACTACACGGTCCAGAGATGTACAGTAAGTGTTTGTACATGACACAGAAATACTACACGGTCCAGAGATGTACACGACACAGAAATACTACACGGTCCAGAGATAAAAAGTATGTGTTTGTACATGACACAGAAATACTACACGGTCCAGAGATAAAAAGTATGTGTTTGTACATGACACAGAAATACTACACGGTCCAGAGATAAAAAGTATGTGTTTGTACATGACACAGAAATACTACACGGTCCAGAGATAAAAAGTATGTGTTTGTACATGACACAGAAATACTACATGGTCCAGAGATGTACAGTAAGTGTTTGTACATGACACAGAAATACTACACGGTCCAGAGATGTACAGTAAGTGTTTGTACACGACACAGAAATACTACACGGTCCAGAGATGTACAGTAAGTGTTTGTACACGACACAGAAATACTACACGGTCCAGAGATGTACAGTAAGTGTTTGTACATGACACAGAAATACTACACGGTCCAGAGATGTACAGTAAGTGTTTGTACATGACACAGAAATACTACACGGTCCAGAGATGTACAGTAAGTGTTTGTACACGACACAGAAATACTACACCGTCCAGAGATAAAAAGTATGTGTTTGTACATGACACAGAAATACTACACGGTCCAGAGATAAAAAGTATGTGTTTGTACATGACACAGAAATACTACACGGTCCAGAGATAAAAAGTATGTGTTTGTACATGACACAGAAATACTACATGGCCCAGAGATGTACAGTAAGTGTTTGTACATGACACAGAAATACTACACGGTCCAGAGATGTACAGTAAGTGTTTGTACATGACACAGAAATACTACACGGTCCAGAGATGTACAGTAAGTGTTTGTACATGACACAGAAATACTACACGGTCCAGAGATAAAAAGTATGTGTTTGTACATGACACAGAAATACTACACGGTCCAGAGATAAAAAGTATGTGTTTGTACATGACACAGAAATACTACACGGTCCAGACATAAAAAGTATGTGTTTGTACATGACACAGAAATACTACACGGTCCAGACGTACAGTAAGTGTTTGTACATGACACAGAAATACTACACGGTCCAGAGATAAACAGTAAGTGTTTGTACATGACACAGAAATACTACACGGTCCAGAGATGTACAGTAAGTGTTTGTACACGACACAGAAATACTACACGGTCCAGAGATAAACAGTAAGTGTTTGTACATGACACAGAAATACTACACGGTCCAGAGATGTACAGTAAGTGTTTGTACATGACACAGAAATACTACACGGTCCAGAGATGTACAGTAAGTGTTTGTACACGACACAGAAATACTACACGGTCCAGAGATGTACAGTAAGTGTTTGTACATGACACAGAAATACTACACGGTCCAGAGATGTACAGTAAGTGTTTGTACATGACACAGAAATACTACACGGTCCAGAGATGTACAGTAAGTGTTTGTACATGACACAGAAATACTACACGGTCCAGAGATGTACAGTAAGTGTTTGTACATAACACAGAAATACTACACGGTCCAGAGCTAAAAAGTAAGTGTTTGTACATGACACAGAAATACTACATGGTCCAGAGATGAACAATATGTGTCTCCAGACCTATCTGTGTCATGTACAAACCCTGTATATTTCAGATTTTAAGCCACACCTTTTTTCTTCATGAGTCTGGCATGAGGAAGAAGGCATTCTATTTGTACAAGAAGGTGCTCTGTAGCAGTACTCATCACAAATCAAGCATATTCTTAGAAGCTGAAATACTTTAGAATGAAGCTACATATAAAAGTAAAGTCGGACATAAACCTATACTAAAAATGTTGGATCAAGCTGGATATTAGATTCTATGATAATAATTGAGATGAGAAAGAGCAAACCAAAACATGACACTTATTTTGAAAGGTTTCCCTGCATTCCACACTTCACCACTATGGTGACCACCAACAAATTTACATACGTTTCTTTGAAAATCAAAAAAGTTTTTCCTGTAATTCTTTATTTTGTGAGATGTACAGTATATCTAAAAATTGGGACTAGCAATCAAAATTTACAAACTGATCAATTATGTCTAGCTTCATTTTTAGTACACTCAATTACATCAATCGCCAGTCACACTAAAAGACATGAAGAAGATCATGGATACTTAAAATCTTTAACCCTGACCAGCAATGGTTACCGTTCAGAATGAAACACAGCCTAAACAGTTGTAAGTTCTTCTACTTTATTATTTATCACACTGAAAAACTCATATACATATTCAGAACAAAAGAATAGGGTATTAGAGACTTTGAAACATTCCAACGCCATTAAGTAGACATAAATAAGCAAATTTTAAGTCATTAATTTTTACATGTTTGAGACAAACTGTGGAGAAAACATTTTTATGGGCAGTTTTTGACAGGCAACATACAAATTATCTCAAGATATATTGATCGCTGTGAAGAAGCATGTAATTTTTTGAAACTTTTTGTCAGTACGAGGTTCAAAATTTGACATGCCATGGATCTGTATCTTTTTGATATACATGTATCCTGTTATTTCCCATTTCCATCATTTTAGGTATTCATGCTAATTTTGTTTTTATCTTTTGAAGAATTTTATCTGAGAAATTTAAATATATTCTAAAGTATGAGTTTTTTACATGATCTCAAGAAAGCAGGTCACATTTAAAAAATCAATATGACATTCTCATATAACATGAGCAATGATATTACAAGTAATGATATTATTTAAAAGTACATTTCCATGTTCCAATACTAAAATGTCTGTATTCATCTCAGTAATAGACTAGAATTATTTCCATGTACAACATTTCTCACATTGATACTCAAAAATGCAGTTCCAGCAAAGACTAAAAGGCTTAGCTACAATGATCAATGCTTGAAATTTTCAAATTTTACCACACATACAAAAGTGTCAGGGAAGTTTACACATATTTTTACAATTCACAAGACTTTAGGTAATTAATAAAGTTAAAGATGTATGACACAAGTAATCTCTCATTTATATCACAATTCACAAAACTTCAGTTCTGAGCTCTCTATTCCTATCAGTATACATTGATGAATTTTAAATAAAATTCAATTTTAACATTTAGAAAAAATCTTTTATAGAAAATTTACAAAGCATAGTGTTACTGATATTGAAAGATATGTCTGTTTGACTACTATATGTTCTGTTTCCAAGTCATTACCTCACAATCACTGTCCAATGTAATTAGGTCACTACTTCACAATCACTGTCCCATATCACTAGGTCTCTACCTCACAATCACTGTCCCATATCACTAGGTCACTACCTCACAATCACTGTCCCATATCACTAGGTCACTACCTCACAATCACTGTCCCATATCACTAGGTCTCTACCTCACAATCACTGTCCCATATCACTAGGTCACTACTTCACCATCACTGTCCCATGTCTCTAGGTCACTACCTCACAATCACTGTCCCATATCACTAGGTCACTACCTCACAATCACTGTCCCATATCACTAGGTCACTACCTCACAATCACTGTCCCATATCACTAGGTCACTACTTCACAATCACTGTCCCATATCACTAGGTCACTACCTCACAATCACTGTCCCAAATCACTAGGTCATATTACAGGTAATTACCTCACAATCACTTTCCAATATCATTAGGTCAATACTCATAATCACTATCCAATGTAACCTCATGATCAATGTTCTGTGTCATTTAGACACTACATCATGGTCACTATCCAATGTAACCTCATGATCAATGTTCTGTGTCATTTAGACACTACATCATGGTCACTATCCAATGTAACCTCATGATCAATGTTCTGTGTCATTTAGACACTACATCATGGTCACTATCCAATGTAACCTCATGATCAATGTTCTGTGTCATTTAGACACTACATCATGGTCACTATCCAATGTAACCTCATGATCCATGTTCTGTGTCATTTAGACACTACATCATGGTCACTATCCAATGTAACCTCATGATCAATGTTCTGTGTCATTTAGACACTACATCATGGTCACTATCCAATGTAACCTCATGATCAATGTTCTGTGTCATTTAGACACTACATCATGGTCACTATCCAATGTAACCTCATGATCAATGTTCTGTGTCATTTAGACACTACATCATGGTCACTATCCAATGTAACCTCATGATCAATGTTCTGTGTCATTTAGACACTACATCATGGTCACTATCCAATGTAACCTCATGATCAATGTTCTGTGTCATTTAGACACTACATCATGGTCACTATCCAATGTAACCTCATGATCCATGTTCTGTGTCATTTAGACACTACATCATGGTCACTATCCAATGTAACCTCATGATCAATGTTCTGTGTCATTTAGACACTACATCATGGTCACTATCCAATGTAACCTCATGATCAATGTTCTGTGTCATTTAGACACTACATCATGGTCACTATCCAATGTAACCTCATGATCAATGTTCTGTGTCATTTAGACACTACATCATGGTCACTGTCCCAAGCTATAAGGCCACTATCTCACAATCACTGACCAAGGTCCATCTAAGCATTGACTAACACTTTACCTTATTTAATTAGAAAAATTCTTCCAGGGGAATGTGCATACATGTATGATATAACAAGTGATCTGAAGTACTTTGTGGGGTTTGATAATCCAGGTAAGGATGTATAGTAACGTTATGAAATGTTGATAAATCTCACCTGTAATTCTTCCTTAACTCTGCGCTCCTCATCCATTGACATGCGCTTCTCATGTTTTTTGTAGTACTTGCGTTTTGCTGCCTGGAGGTTGAACCATGTGTAGGAGAATGCCTTCACATGAGGAAGCAATGCCTCGATGAAGGGGTGGAATTCATCCTAAAAAGAAAAAATCCCATCAGTCAAAATAAGAGTATCTAGGATGTAAGAAAATATCAAAATGATGTTCTTAATTTGTTAAAAATAATCTAAAATTCATAATGCTGAGTACAATACGAGCAATGGCAACAATGAAATCTCAATACATTGTAATCCCAATTCTTTTCTACAAATGAAAGCTCAAATTTATCAGTTCTTATTTTTCTAAAGAAGTGTAGTGCAAATATTTTTTATTTTACAAAGGATGGTATGCATATTATTTTAACCTTAATGGATATGATATAACAATAATTCCCAATTGGACCTTTAATTAGTATAATATTCTTATGGCTAATTAACACAGAAGAGGTCCAAAGGTGGACAACTAAGTGTGTTAGAGCAACACTAATGACCATGCCAGCAACCCAGACAACTTTGGAACTTTTAACAGTTATTACTCAGGGCTCATGTAGTAAAATTAAAAACTTGTCGGCAGAATCTATTGTAAAAAAATCTTTACTAAAACTGAAGTTCTGCTAGCAGATTTTATTTTTGAATTCCCACTTGAGTTAGGCAATTGGTCTCATTGTTTTGCGAAAAATCCAATTAAAAATTAATTTCCAAAAAAGTTTATTTCACAGGTATTATACCTTACTTGTATTTGTCCAGTAAAAAACCTGGGGATCAATACATAACAATTTACTCAACCCAAAGCCAACACATAACCTCTGACATAGTCCAAGGGGCCTTCATTTATCTGTCTCAAGGCAGGGAGGTTGGCTCATTACAAGACAAAAACCCTAGAGGTAAAACATGTTACCTCTGATTCAAACTAAGGGGGGTTGGATTCAATACCAATACAGGACAAAAGCCCAAGAGAAAACACATTACTTCTAACTCAGCCCATGGGGCACCCAATCCATTACCTCTGACTTCCCAGAGGGCAAACACATAACTTCAGAATCAGCCCAAGGAGCCAACACATTACCTCTTTCTCAACCTAAGGGGACAGGACAGGTGGGTTTGATATTGACTTAGTATGTCTACTGATATGGCAATACATGTGAGTGGGCTTATTACCAGGCATTGTCTTATTTCCTGATAAATGGCACAGATACCTACATCACTAAATCCATTAGAATCAATCCAAATGAAAGACATCAATTAAAACTACAAGTTATAATCAATTATGACTTCATTTAGAAGTTATTGATTGGACTAAAGGCTATATTTAAATTTTGACTCCATCATGATCATTCACCATTACACCATGCTACAACAGGATCTCCTTTCACCTTGAAATGAGAGGAATTTGTTGTGATGAGGAGGACGGGTAAAAACTTTTGTATTTTTCTTTTTACTGTGAAACTTACCATGGACTGACTAATCAGAGAAATATGAATGCCTCAACAGACGATACAGACCTGGATAGCACAAAATGTGTAGTTCCAAATATCATCCATCATACATGAAAAGTTTTGGAAAAGACTTACATAATGTTCGGTCTTTTACTGATTAAAATTTATCAAAATGAACTTTTCCACAAGAATTATCACCGTTACTGCGGAATCAAGTTGTATACTGGTACGTGTACACCAGTATAATGGGGAAACTGGAGAAATGGAACTGATTCAATAATATGTAAATTCAGTTTCTTTTTACAACCAGTTGATGCCTGATCGAGTTATGATGTCCTGATTTTGTCAATATGACGCAACAGGTGACCTTTTAGGGGTCAATAACCTCCCTTTAAATATACTGCTGTCACAAAACAATGAACTTGCGTGCAGGCATCTACCTTCAAAGTGAGATGTATGACTTATAAGCACAGCTCTTCTAAAATATCAACTACACATACGAACTACACATGTATCATACATGTAGCTTACACACCTAGCTGGATACAATATAACCTAGCCAAAATGCATGAATAAAAAAACATATGCATTCCCTTCGTTAAAGGCCAGAAAAGGCTGTTAAACCTTCTTCTGATCTTCTGTGTAACAGTAATGGTTTATGGAGGGATGATATTTAACAGGAGATGGACCAGAAACTTTTTATGCTTTTTTTTTACATGCATTGATACATATAGACAAGAAGAATGTATGTATGGTACTCGCAATACCACGATATTGAAAAAACACCCAACAGTCACATAAAAAGAACACCCTACAGCACTGCCATCCCATTTTGATATATAGGAGAGACTGATCAATAAGACTGACAAGGGTCGTGGCGCTGCAGTACCCTGAACCATTAGGCAAATGTTAAAACCAACCAGAAAGGGTCTCAAAACTAGGAAGCAATTACACAACAAACTATTACATCCTACCAAGATGACTAGGGATCGGGCACCCTTTGCCGGCTGTCAGTTCTGAACTATCCAGGACATTTTAGGTGTCTAGATCCTGAAGAAGACCAGTCATTATGATATACAAAATACAGGCTAGTCGAAAGGTTTAAACCATCCACTGACAAATCATAATGGATAAAAGTCAGTAGCTTTCACCCACTTATTTAGTGGTTAAGATCCAAAGTCATGCTTCTTCTTGGTCAAAAGCATACATGTGTGAGAAAACAAAAGGATGTCAGGCAAGACAGCTGAAACATAAGCATAGAAAACAGACTTCTTGGCCTTACCAGCATATCAATTGTTTATGGTCTTGTCTGATAGCAAGAAATCGGTGAATTATAAGTATTTAAACCTTATTTTTACCTGTATTTCAGAAAATAATCTTGGCAACTTTTACACAGGTGTGTGATATGGGTCCTTTTCCCTCAGAAATTTACATAAATTTATTTCAAACTGCTAATTATTCCCTTGTTTCATCCAAAATTTTTCATTTATGCTTTTTTTGATACTTGTCATTTTCCTGTAGTTCATCATGTTCCATTCCAATCGATAAGAAATGAAAAAATGAAAACAGTATCCATTCCAATCGATAAGAAATGAAAAAATGAAAACAGTATTAGAAGGTTTTGATATATGAAATATGAACAATTTCATTTCTTTGTTTTTTGTTAATCTTTGAAAGATGTCACTAGATAAGGTTTTCCTTAACACACAATTCATAAATGTCACCATCTGAAAATACAGTACAAGAAAAAAAAGAAATTGTGGAGTTTACATTGCCTAAAAGCAATCTTTCAGTATATGTATTGTATATAAATATACATTTAAATAACTGGTCTAAAGAATTATCAGTGTGTGGATGTTTTGTTCCAGTTCATGATATATGGAGTTCATCATTTTGACAGACATCTAAAACTAAAATTCACTGACAGATAAAGTTCTAGTATAAAATATTTTAATTTATTGGCAGAACATCTAAATATGATGTAATCAATCAGACTTAAATTATATAACATTACTTTAAAATGTTTCAAGTTCTGTTCCCCTGATTTAAATTTATACACATCAGCAACATGTTTCTGATGAAAAATTGATTTCTCATAAAAAAATAATGACTGTGTTCCTCGTATCATCGCTTTCATTTTTAGGAAATTATTATTATGAAATATTACTGATCAACTTCTACGTACACATAACAAAACTTACATTTTACATAACTTGAAGAAGTTGTCTTCAATATATTACGCAATTGTGCCCTTGAATTGAGATTTATTTGATGTTTATATAGTATGCATGCAATATTCCCGTATGGATAATAACAAATTACTGATTTTGTAAGTAAATAATCACTATTACACGACAGGCCCTACACTTAACAATATTGTCATATAAAATTTAAATATTTATTAAACAGATAAATTTTACTTAGAATAGCCTCTCATATCTTTAAACTAATCCCTTTGGTTATCTGCTGAATTTCAATCAAATAAATCCAGAATGAAGGTATGGGAATTTTTCATTTGAACATATGAAATAATAACAACATCACATTAACAAACACAAAAAGAATTTACAAATAAAAAAGAAAAGTCTTTCTCCTGACAGTTAAATTGAGAATAAGCAAGCCTATGATTTCATAGCTAGTGTCATCTATCAAGATATCTAATGAAATCATCTGCAAATATTTCTAGAACAGTCAAGTGTTAGGGACTACATGTTGTATAAGTATAAACATGTGGTGATGAGGTCACAATTCACTACACCTGCTGTGGACACAGACCTGCAGCTCTTTTCTCCCATCTTCATTAAGCTGTGTACAACACTAATGCCGGTTTTATCAGCTCTGAGTGGTGACTTCTGTAGGTACACATTTGGTCACATTAGATTACTGTCTGGATCGTACAAAAGGACCTGATCCTAAGGTTAAATCCTAAACAGTATCCTATACATTATTATTGTACCCAATTATCTGTCAGGGCAAGAAAGGTAAATTTTAGACCTTAGATTTAGTATATATAACCAGATGTCAAGCACTTCCATGATTTTTGTTGGTACTCTTTGTTTATTAACTTACTTGTAACTTGGGCTCTGATTCAGTGAGATATAAATAATGGCTGACTACAAGGCAATCCAATGTACTAATACTAAAGTACTTAGATTCCCCAGACAAATTTTTTTATCTAATTATCTGTTGGTCATCAATCAATGTATAAACAAAATTAGTACTATGCTTTAGACATTAACCTTGTTCAATCGTACTTAGCAGTCTTTTTCTGTAGGAAACCTTTTTGATCCATTTAGATGTAGGTTATTATTCAACATACAAACATACTATCATAGAGCCATGCACTGAAGTGCATACACATAACACTGAAAATTGCAGTGTATATCTAAAACTTTATTGTATAAATAACACCACCTGACCTTTGTCAATATAACAAAGACATTAAACCTGTAGCAATTTATATCCTTCAGAAAGTTTTTTTCTGTGATACCTAGAATTACCTATATGTATGGACATGTCCACATACACTGGTATATCCTGCAACTTGGTGGGAAGGGAATTTAACTTTAATGTCTTGGAATAAATGTGTTTAAATAGTGTTACACTCACAGTGCAAATTCTTATACTGTATAGTTGTTCAATTTTGCAGGGCTAATAATATTTCTTTATCGACAGCAGATACAGCTGAATCAAAATCCCTGCCAATATTACAAACTATAGAGTTCGGGAAATGAAATAATTGATTAGCTTGAGGGTAACAGGGTTCACAGAAATCTCTTCATATGAAGATTTAACATTGACAGTTACTTTCTATACAATATGGGTATCTTCAGATATTCAGTAAAAGAATCGTCGATAGTCACTGTTATTCTTCCTACAGTATGGGTATCTATATCACTTTCAACACTTGTGATTGACAGCAACCCCCTTTCCTAAACCCTTGTATTAGAATTGACCATCAACCTGGAAAAGTTTAACATAAACACATCATATTTACTATAATGATTTCATGACATCAAAATTAAAGACAATAAGATTTACATGTATGTCTATAATAGACTATCCTATTTAAGATATTACAATTTTTTACAACAGACTAGGTCCTATTTGATCATAAACATGTATGATAAATTCATTTACTTTATACTAATCACTCTTGCTGGTCTCCCTGAGGCAAGAATCCAGATCAGTAGCCAGGGAACACCACATTCTCTGGAGGGGCAGTTGACTCCATATCTTTTCCTTTCAGTATAAGGAATTGGGCCTCTGTGTGCATTACCACCCTACCTCATCTGCCCATCCATTTTATGATTTTAAAAATTATCACAACTGACTATATTCTATTTTAACAGGTACATACATAGTGTACAAGACTTAATAATACAAGTGTATTGAGGTGAACATTTTCCTTAAGTCGGCTAGAATTTCGGTGGTTCAAATACGATATGTGGATATTACAACTTTATGAGAGAATACATGTGTCACGATACTATGTAACGTTTTTCGTAATAGTATCTTAATGATGGATCAAGTTCAGTTTGATAGTATGGATAAATTGGGAGTATAACTAGAGGGGAAAATTCATAGGGAGAGAGGAGTTTGTACATAGTAGGTAAGGTGGTGAGCTTTCAGGCAAAATGGTGTCACCATGGTTATATAATACTGGTATACAGGTTAGTAACTGAACATAGGCACAGAGGATGTGATGAAGTTGGCTACAGTTTACCTGTAATACACAGGTATTTAACTCACACTGGACATAGTTAGGTGGGATAAAGGTGTTATATTTATAGGTACACTGTATGTTACCTGGACACATGTATTCTCACTTCAGGTACCACTTTATACCTATTATAATATACAGGCTAGGTCAGGTGTTGACAGGTAAAAGGACAAGGAATAAAGTGAATACAGTAGTGTAACACATTGTGAAGGTAAGGCCAAATAATAAAAATTGTCTTTTCTGTTAAAGCTTGGCTTAATGATACTAATCTTTAATACTTACCTGATCGACTAAGAATATTACCAGGTACTGACAAAGTCAGAATTTACATTTGTGATCCATAAACATAACATAAAAAGTTTTTTAACAAAACACCTATCATGTAACAAGACAACAAACAGGTTTTAAAATTTCTCAATGTTATCCTAGAAGTGACAGTATCAGTTTTTTATATTTCTGTTAAAAGATTCGACATAAATAATTGAGTAGATCTTAATATCCTTTCTGCTTAACAGTCTCTGAAATTGCATGGGCACTTTTACTCGTTTGATACTGTAAAAATGTTCTAACCAACACAATTTATTTATAAATCTTTTAAACTTACTTCCTGTTACTGTATATTCTATAAAATATATATTTTTATATTATATTTTTTAACCCTTGTAAAATCTTAAGTATTGTGTATGAAGCTATGTATCTGAATCCTGATTTGTGAAAGTTAAATTAGATGTAAATACTTAACTTTTAAATTAACTGTATTATACAAAATGAATAGATTATACATCATATTGATATATCATAAATATAACATATCATTTATAAGTAGGGGCTGTACAAATTAAATCGAAGTATGCGACTACACATTACTTCAAAGTAATGTGAAACTTCCAGAAACAACCAGCAAAAATCCAAAATAGAGAACAAAAGCTTGTACACTTGGTGGCCCATGCATTGGGTTAGTAAAATGTTACAGTATAGTAGTGGCCAGCAGAAAGGAATTCACTATTGTGGGTCATTGGTCATACAGATTTCTCTTTTAAATAGATAGAAATATATGTGACATTCTGACACATTTATCTTCCCACATCTTCAGACTTCAGCAGTAAGATATGACTCATTCAACTTAATAAAGAAACATCTTTCATTTAAAACACCTGTAGCACACACAAGTGCATTTGGAAGGCCTATAAAGTTAATGTGATAGGGAAACTGAAATATTAAATAATGGAACAAATGAAACAGCACATTCACAAACAACTTTTTAAACAGGAGAATTATATGGGTGGTGCTCGTCAATGTATGACAAGTTATAATGAGAGGGACAAAACTTCCCAGATTTCTATGATACACATGTAACAGGATTATTCTCATCTAAGGACATACTACTGTTACACCTGTAACTGATGCTACATTCCACACATACTACTTTACTACCCCTTTAAATGACATCACCAGCTACATCACCTACTCTCTCTAATATCACTACAATATTTCTATAATAAGACAAAACACACCTATATATAATTATAAGACACTGCTGTGTTATCTCAACACTGAATCCCTCCTTATTTCTACTTATAACAACTACTTATGGATAAATACACTGACTCTAAGTTTACAGATGATACCCGATTTTCAAAGGCTACAAATGAATCATGACACAGCCACTGGAGTGGTATACATACTCATCATTTGACAACTTTAAACTTAAGGGGTATTGACAAGCAGACTTACATCATGACAGACAAAATAAAACAATTTCCAGGTATATATTGTGCATGAATTAATGAAATTAAGAATATAACATCTATAATGTCTGACCTATTGCTCTTTGTCACCGCTATTGAGGATAGGTAATGTTAACAGGTTTCATATTATCGTAAAATTCTGAACTGTTGTAATGCTTTAAAATATAGTATCTTAATACTCCCTCTTTCAGTTATTTGTCTTGGTAGGAAACATTCAAAATGAAAACTTTTGATAATCAAAATCAACCTATTAATTTAAACACTTGCAAACAATTTGAAGCTTTAAACTATTTCCTTTGATGATTGAAATACTCTGCAATGAGAATCCATAAAACAAATTAATCACACATAGACAACACCATGATGATGAACAGCAATCATATCCTGCGACACCCTACAGATTTAGTAAAATGGAAGTCAATCACTCAACCTCTTTTTAGGTATTTGCTTAAACTTCCAATGCTCTTTTTTACACTGGGGAGGTAAACTGCATTATAAAAAAGTACTTGAATTCAACATATAAGTTAACACCAATATATTGTTTTACTATGACGATAATATTGGGCATACTTATAACACACCTGCATGCTGTAATGCAACAGGTTTCAGTGTTACTAGAAAACATGACACCAAACTTTATCTTAATATTGATTTGAAAGAAAGCTACTACACCATACATTTCATAATCTTACTTAGGTACTCCTAGTAATTAACCTATCAAATACAGGAGTACCTACCCTGAAGTTTCCGCGTGAATTTATAAAATAAAGCATAAAGAACCATTAACTATTCCCTGATACACAATTGATATACAAAGTATAAAAAGAATTTGTATACCATAGCTGTATGTTGACTCCACAACATCACATCAGTTCAAGTTTAAATATCCATCAATGAAATATGTTTTCCAAACAGGTGTTCATGTACAGGTTCACTTAAAAATATAGAACTGTGCAACATTCCACATACAACTCTGCACATTAAATTCAAAGAATCGTTCACTGAACATATCTCCACAACGTTTCTGTGCTCATTGATTCACAGTTAAGTTCCGGTTTTATGCACAAATGATTTGCTAATGATAGCAGATTTTTTTTCCACTGGTCCACTATCAAATAACACTGACCCATGTGTATAAATGAAGATTGTTAACACATATTACAACCATTCTCTATGTGTTTGGTTCTATTCAATGTAATTTTAGTGCCATTCAACCAATTAACCACGAGCTTGTCCGTGCTGAGATATAAGTCATAGTAAAATCAGATGTCAGAAGAGGGTACAGAATTTGCCTACACAGTCTACAGATATAAACCACAACTTGGGACTTTTTCATTTTGCTTGTGCTAAGGGGCCTCCATTTTGACAGATCAAATTATTACTGCGTTTCGAAAAATACAAGGTTGGATGAACACAAAAATGTCGTTATTAGACTTATATTAACACATTTAAAACTTTAGATTAACTTTTGGTGAAGTTTTTGCTTCTTTTATCGAAGTTTTTAACTAAACTATGCTAGCTTTTTACCGTGTGTATAAGCGACCCCGGCTAACATTTCAGCTTCAATACACATCATCTGCCTTTTAAACCTGCCATTATTTCACCTGTGCACGCAAATCTATGAACAAAGTCATATTTGTGGAAACGGCAAATATATATATGTCATTTTTATTAACATATCGAACGCACGTATCATCCAGTAACCCAGAAAATCGAAATAGTACCACTATAAGCACGCACAGACACGAACAGTGGAGTTTTTGGCAGCCATTTTGGAAAATAATCCTTGACGAAGAACTACGCCAAGTACTTCCCTGCCAATTTCTAATAATATATATGCATGCTTTACGTTTGGAAGGGAACAACAAAACATCGGTATCACTATCTGACCCGATCAAAGCTGACAATTTCTGACTTCAGAAATGGTTTGTTCAGCACTTTTACTCCGCTCGGCTACACTCACCATGGTCATCTTCTGATAACTTTCATGTCCGAAGTATATTTGTTTTCATCCATAGATAAAATAATCCATATTCTCGTACTCGAACTTATTACATGGATGGTGGATCACTTTTGATCACAGTTTTCCTCTGGCGTTACACTGGGAAACCCGCCAAAGTTACTGACCCCGGGTTCTCCTCTATTAGAGTCTATGGCGTAGTATGTTTTGAGAAGAGACTATTGTTGTTGTCGCTTTCCAAATATGGAGGCATTGGGTATCACTCCTCCGGGTTTGACCAATCACATCGCGTGTATTTTATTTACAGCTATAATGATTGACAGCCATACGTGAGTGTCCTACGGGAGAACCATCTAAACTTTTAACAAAACCTAATAAAATCCCACTAAATACAGCGAACTGGGAAACAATTTTGTCAGGATAAATTATGCGAATGCTTATAATCAAGAGAAAATGTTCTTTCCATGGATACATTATTTTATTATTGAAATTACCATATTCAGATATGACCATACCTGTTTGGTAAACGTAAAACAAACGATGTATAGTATTTGCAAATTTAGAGAATTTGACAAACATGGTGAGAAAATAAAAGATGAATACGTGTTTAACAAGTTCATCGTTTTGTATTAGTGGAAGTAATTTCTAAATATGCCTTATCTTCAATTTTTAAATCGAAACCAAAAGTAGGGTAGTACATTGCTTCTGAATATAGACCTGATTGAATAATGATTGATGGTTAACCACGCCCACTTACGATAGAATCCATTCATTCATAGAATTTGCCAGATTTGTAAAAAGATAGTGAAAGCGGGACATGCGGTATGCCAATTAAGTAGCACGCGCGGCTATAACCGTTAAACTTCCCGGTAACAAAGAGTTCATTGATATAACTAACAAGTGATAATACTGACTGATATCATTTAAATTATAATTATGATTTCATTTTAATGCACCAATTTAAATAAGAAAAAAAATCGATCATTTTATACAAAAATCATTTTATGTCTAGAAGAGGTCAAAATTTTACAGTTAGTATTTAAAACTTTATTTCATTCGTATATACAATACATTTAATACATATTAAGCAAAAACAGAAATCGAATTAAATTTGGAAATAAGTATTGTAAGCCTACATATAATCCGTCTCCAGTAAGAAACACATGATTTGTATAGCCATGGAAACCTGTATATGTGAAACAAAATAAACAGAAAGTTATTGAGGGAAGAGGAAGGGGAGTTGCCCAGCATACAACTGCAATACTCCGACATGATAGTAGTTTTTGTTGTCAACTTGAATTGTCAGTTACATGGTCAACGTTTTACTGGACATTTCATTCTTAATTAACAAATTAATTATCTATTAATTTTTCTTGTTATTAGTTTTTATTATTGTAGTTCTCAATTTTCAAAAATATACTTTTTATCATAACTTATTTCTTAACGCAACAAATTAAAAAAAAAAGATTTACTAATTAATGTAAACTTGTAATAGAGAATTATATCACTAACTGTATACATTTCTGACACGTGACACCGTAGTGTTGATGCTCTCAGTTTTAAATGTATGATCATGTCAAAACATTATAAAGATGCGAGAAGACCTGAAAAATTAACAGACTGGACGACTAAATTCTCCACCTGCAAAAAAATATTCCTTTCAACTATTACCTGTATTTATTTGATATCCATTTGTTGTGGCACCAAATGAAATATTAACCAGGAAATCAAATTGTTTCATTATCTATACTGGACTAAGACATCAGTCTAATATTATCTATGTTAGACTAAAAGACTAATACACATAGACTACATCAATATAATATTATCTATGTAAGACTAACACACCAGTCTAATATCATCTATGTTAGACTAACACATCAGTATAATATCATCTATGTTAGACTAACACATCAGTATAATATCATCTATGTTAGACTAACACATCAGTATAATATCATCTATGTTAGACTAACACATCAGTATAATATCATCTATGTTAGACTAACACATCAGTATAATATCATCTATGTTAGACTAACACAACAATCTTATATTATCTATAATAGACAAACACGTCAGCCTATTACGTGAATGAGAAAAGAAAACTGAATATGAATTAAACTAGACAAACGTAATTATTTAATTTTACGATATTACCCATACTACCCTAATACATCAGTCTATTATTTGGTGAAAATAGAAAACTGGATACTACTCTAATACCTGACTAACGCATCGATCTATTACCTGTGAGAAAAAAAGTACCGAATGTTACTCATACCAGACTAACGCATCAGTCTATTATGTGTGTGAGAATAGAATACTGAATATTACCCATACTAGACAAACGTATCAGTCTATTACGAGTGTCGGAGAATAGAAGACTGAATATTACCCATACTAGACAAACGTATCAGTCTATTACGAGTGTCGGAGAGTAGAATACTGAATATTACCCATACTAGACAAACGTATCAGTCTATTACGAGTGTCGGAGAGTAGAATACTGAATATTACCCATACTAGACAAACGTATCAGTCTATTACGAGTGTCGGAGAATAGAATACTGAATATTACCCATACTAGACAAACGTATCAGTCTATTACGAGTGTCGGAGAGTAGAATATTGAATATTACCCATACTAGACAAACGTATCAGTCTATTACGAGTGTCGGAGAATAGAATACTGAATATTACCCATACTAGACAAACGTATCAGTCTATTACGAGTGTCGGAGAGTAGAAGACTGAATATTACCCATACTAGACTAATACATCAGGCTATTACGAGTGTCGGAGAGCAGATTTGAATATTACCCATACTAGACTAATACATCAGTCTATTACGAGTGTCGGAGAGTAGAATATTGAATATTACCCATATTAGACAAACGTATCAGTCTATTACGAGTGTCGGAGAGTAGAAGACTGAATATTACCCATATTAGACAAACGTATCAGTCTATTATGAGTGTCGGAGAGTAGAATATTGAATATTACCCATATTAGACAAACGTATCAGTTATTACGAGTGTCGGAGAGTAGAAGACTGAATATTACCCATACTAGACTAATGCATCAGTCTATTACGAGTGTCGGAGAGTAGAATATTGAATATTACCCATATTAGACAAACGTATCAGTCTATTACGAGTGTCGGAGAGTAGAAGACTGAATATTACCCATAAAGACAAACGTATCAGTCTATTACGAGTGTCGGAGAGTAGAATATTGAATATTACCCATATTAGACAAACGTATCAGTCTATTATGAGTGTCGGAGAGTAGAATACTGAATATTACCCATACTAGACTAATACATCAGGCTATTACGAGTGTCGGAGAGTAGAATATTGAATATTACCCATACTAGACTAATACATCAGTCTATTACGAGTGTCGGAGAGTAGAATATTGAATATTACCCATATTAGACAAACGTATCAGTCTATTACGAGTGTCGGAGAGTAGAAGACTGAATATTACCCATACTAGACTAATACATCAGTCTATTACGAGTGTCGGAGAGTAGAATATTGAATATTACCCATACTAGACTAATACATCAGTCTATTACGAGTGTCGGAGAGTAGAATATTGAATATTACCCATATTAGACAAACGTATCAGTCTATTACGAGTGTCGGAGAGTAGAAGACTGAATATTACCCATACTAGACTAATACATCAGTCTATTACGAGTGTCGGAGAGTAGAATATTGAATATTACCCATACTAGACTAATACATCAGTCTATTACGAGTGTCGGAGAGTAGAATATTGAATATTACCCATATTAGACAAACGTATCAGTCTATTACGAGTGTCGGAGAGTAGAAGACTGAATATTACCCATACTAGACAAACGTATCAGTCTATTACGAGTGTCGGAGAGTAGAATATTGAATATTGCCCATATTAGACAAACGTATCAGTCTATTATGAGTGTCGGAGAGTAGAATATTGAATATTACCCATATTAGACAAACGTATCAGTCTATTACGAGTGTCGGAGAGTAGAATATTGAATATTACCCATACTAGACTAATACATCAGTCTATTACGAGTGTCGGAGAGTAGAATATTGAATATTACCCATATTAGACAAACGTATCAGTCTATTACGAGTGTCGGAGAGTAGAAGACTGAATATTACCCATACTAGACAAACGTATCAGTCTATTACGAGTGTCGGAGAGTAGAATATTGAATATTGCCCATATTAGACAAACGTATCAGTCTATTATGAGTGTCGGAGAGTAGAATACTGAATATTACCCATACTAGACTAATACATCAGTCTAATATGTATGTGATAAAAGCAAACTGGATATAACCCATTCTAGACTAGAGTAACAATTATGTGAAAATTTTATGACGGAATGCTGATAGTAGTAACGGGTTTCTTGGTATCAAAATATTATATATACCGAGATCTCAAATATATTGTTGGACATTTTTGTACACATGGTAGTTCTGCACTTTGATCACATGCAGCATAAGTGATAAGGACGTTCAAGCATTGGTTAGCGTCAGGTAAACTTCTTACCTCTACATAAACAATTGTTTATTCTAAATAAATAGCTGCTCCCTTCCACCGTCTCTGTCATCGTACGAGTGAAATATTTGGCATAAAAAATCGCTACGTTATCATAGTTTCTGGCCCGTGTACTGCTATTTCTGCATAACGTAATTTATCATCAGTGTTAACAAGACTTAAAATGGACCACAGTGGACATTGGATCTTATTCTCAGCTATGTAAATTTTCTATAGAAGCAAGGCATTTCCAGTAATTGGTCATATTAATTAGCTTTTTGATGAATTTTCCCCTTCATTATGTAGATAAGTTGGAAATTATTACTGTTTGAAGACGAAACCTGACTTGGAATAAATTGATACATATTTTAGATCATTTTATCACTTCTAACACATATATCAATGATTTTCAACCAATAATTCGATATATCAATATTTTATTGAAATGATATAACGATATAAATTGTAATTTAAAAAAAAAACTGTATAAACTATATCTAAAATGAAACGCATTTAATTGTTTTGTTTTATTTCATGTTTCGCAGCTAAACCTACACGAGTTATCTTTCTTGTCATATGCCCTAGCATGTATTTACAATCACGGCGATGCTTCGATCCCATATGGGCTGGACAAATACG